GGAGGCGGTCATGAGGCTGTGGGCCGCCACCACCACCCATGTCCCAGGGCCACCCAGAGCCCACCCAGTCCCACCTTGCCAGCCGGGGTGTCGCTCGGGGTTCTCCAGGGGCTTGGGTGGGGCGGCGAAGGGGATCCCTTTGAAGACATCAATGGAGTCGCCCAAGAGGCCGAGCTTCTTGTTGACGCCTTCCACGAAACCACCTTCCGTGTACACTGCGCCCAGCTATGGCCAGACAGCAGGTCAGGGCGGATCGGGTCGGCGCCGCCTCAGTTTCCCCATGCAAGACGGGCCACGGTTTCTCCCTCACACCCGTGTGCCCGCCCAGAGGCCAGCAGAGGTGGGCGCAGAGGTGCTGACGGGTTATGCCCAGCCACGAGCCTTCGAGTTCCACAGAGCCTCGCTGGCTGGGCACAGTGCAGGCGGCCTGATGCCCACATCCTCAAGCCCCTGTGCTCCCTGCTGGGGAGGACTCCATGGGGGCCCCCGTCCCACCCCAGGCCTTTCATCACCACGTGGGCCCAGGAACCCCTCTTCACAAGGACCTGGAGGCTGGCCCACGACAGCTCATGCTCCTGCTGTCCCGAGGGAACTGAGGCTCCATGGCTTTCCTGCCTGAAGTCACCCTGCTGGGAAGCCACCTTCTGACAGCCCAGCTCTTGTTCCCTTCCAGGGCCACCTGCGGCTTGTCCAAGGGCAGCGCAGGAGTGGCCCTGCTTGCCCACGCTGCTGCTGCTGCTTCCCGCTCCGCCCGCCTGGGCCAGGCTCCAGGTGGGGAAGGGCGAAGCGGCCTGTAGCCCTGGGGGCCCAGTGGCCCTCTGAAGTCTAGGTTGATGGGTGGGAGAGTGGGGAGGGCTGCAGGGGGAGAAGGAGCCAGAAACAACTCCCACAAGGCTCCTGAGCCTCCTTGTCCCAATACCCTGGGGCAGAAGGCCAGGTCAGTGCCTGGGGACTGGGAAGTGAACCGGGAAGCCTCAGGATGGAGGGCCCAAGGGCTTGGGTACTCTGGCCAGAGTGTCAGTGGGGAAGGGGACTGGCGGCTGCCGGCACAGCAGGAAAGGAACCTGGGTCTTCAGACAGCTCTCCCAGAGAGTCCTCTGGCTGAGGAGCCCAGGGCCAGAGCCCACACCTCCAGGCTAAAGGGTGAGACAGCAGGGCCTGATATTGCTGGCTGAGGAGTGGAGAGACAGCGGATCGGGGTGCAGCGTGGTGGGGGCCGGGGTCCCCTGTGCAAGGGGGCTTTGCGCTGCCTCTGCGTGCTGGTGGGAAGGGGGTCTCTGTGCCTTGTTCCCCACTCTCGAGGAGGACAGCTGGATGGCAGGTCTTCCCCATGCCCCAGGAGGGCTAGTGTGGCCCTGACTCCTGCTGGCGGGAGTGGCCCCTGGAACCAGGCTCCCTCCTGGGAGTGGAGGCTGTGCTGGGCCAGACCCCTGGTTTGGGCAGACTCGGTTCGATTCCTGCTCAGGAACAAAAAGCCTTCCTCCTTTCCTTAACGTGGGGGCAGGGGACATTGTGGGGGTGTTGTAGGTAGGGTTGCCAGACTTGGAAAGAGAGTCAATAGCCCAGTGACACTGGGATTCCTTTTAGAATAATTATGGCCCAAACATGGCATGGGGCACCAGATTATCGATGGTTTATCTCAGCTCCACACATACTGGGCCTCCCGTGTTTTATTGGCAGCCTGGTCACCACGTGGAGGATGGAGCCGAGCCGGGGCCCTGCCCAGACGGAGTGTCCAGGCAATGGCAGCGCGATTGGCCCACTGTCTCCCCGCCTGTCTCCCTGCCCCTGAGGCTTCTATGCAGTGAGGAGAGACGGCCTGTGCCTGGTCGTTGCCCGTCTGCAGGGCTCTCACTTACCTTCGCCGCCCTCACCACTGCCAAGCAGCAGGTGAGGCCCAAGACGGCCAGCTCCAGGCGCCCCATGGTGTGTCCGTCTCTGTGGCCCTCCCTCCGGGGTTCAGGTATTTATGGAGCTGGAGCCAAGGTCACATGTGTGTGTGCGTGCTCATGAGTACACGCACGCCCGGGTGCACGGACGGTCCATCTTTCCCAGAGCTGGCTGCTCGGGCTGTCCTGGTGCCCACGGCGCACCTGGGCAGGTTACTGCCTACCTGAGAGCAGACACAGGTGGCATGGGCCGGGGGGTGGGGAAACAAGGGCCAGGCTGGCGTGGACTCACCCTCAGAGGCAGGGCCCGAGTGTCTCCATGTCTGCCTGCCCTCCCAGCTCACCAGAGGGAGTTCCTAGGAAACCGGGCAGGGTGGGGACTTCTGGGATGAGAAGACTGTCCCCTACTGTGCACAGTGTGGCGGACCCTGAGCAACTAAAGGGCTGGGCTCTCTGCCCAGGAAGCGGCCATGCAAAGGCCCTGGGGCACACTCAGGCAGAGACAGAGACAGCGAGGGCATGGGACGGGGAGAGAGGATAAGCCCGGAGGTGAGACCATAGCAGATGTGGCCACGAATACTTTCTGTGAATGTTCCTGGAAGTCAGAAATGTTTACTGAAAACAAAAGCCCACCACAAACAGAATCCTGAGATGGCACCTTTCAAAGGGGTTTGGTTACTTCTGAGGCCACCTGTCACGGAAGGCCCTCAGGTGGAGGCCTGCCTGCCACACAGCCCTCTTCAGTGGTGGGAGCAGAGATTGGCTGGCAGAACCTCCCAGGCCCATAGCCTCTCTCGTCTGGGGCTTGTGGCCCCAAACTGGCCACACACCCACAGGCCGCCCGCCCAAGCTGTCCCGGCCCACGGCCACAGCTGTCCCGGCCCACGGGTCTGCAGATCACAGCTGGCCATCGGTCTGCCTGTCCGTCCATCTGGTTTCGTGCCCAGATCTTCAGGATGCAGAGCAGGTGGGGTGAGAGAAGTCAGGACATGGGGAGGAGGGGCTGGGGCAGGCTGGGGCGGTTGTGGCTTTACTGGGGAGTGAGGACCTGAGGGGTGCTGCCCAAGGAGGAGGAAATGCAGGTGTTAGCTCAGGCTTCCTGCCCAGCTGGCCTAATTCTGGGAACCTGTTCCCTGAGGAGGCAAGTGAGCTGGGAGGCCTGAGGACAGGCATGTGCTGCAGCGGGGAGGAAGGAGGAGGAGGGCAGGAGGCAGGGGAGGGGGAAGGAGGCCTCGGCTTTGTTTCTTGATCTTTTAGAGCAGAGGCTTCTTTGAAAGAGCAGTTTTAGGTTCACAACAAAACTGAAAAGGAGGTGCAGATTCCCTATAGCCACCCTGATCCAACGTGCATGGCGTACCCGTCACCGTCCCCACCGAGTGGCACATTGTCCACATCTGTCGCTATACTGTCATCTGGTTAGCTTCGCAGTCCCACACAGTCCCCTTCCT